CGTACTTCCCCGGTGCCGGCCGTGCCTCGACAGCAGCACCGGCCTTCCGGCCAAGCACGACATCGGCAGACACGGACGAAGAGGCCAGGAGGAGGGGGAGGAGGAGGACAAGTGTGTGGATGCCCAGGGCGTGAGCCATGGCGACCGAGCTAGCTGCTGCACGCGTAGCTAGGTAGGTAGCTAGTGCAACTGCTGCTGCTCAAGCTCAAGTGTGTACTCGTGAGTTGGGAGGGTAGGGTTTTAAAGAGATCGAGGGGAGGCAGCATTTCATTAATTAAGCAGTTTTCAATCCACGCGTAACACGCTCCACGTGCAAATATTCTGGCGGGGCGCCACTTGGCCGTGCGCGATCTCTCCTCGACTGTCGGTCTTTTCCTCCCTCCCTTATGAATGATATCACAAGAGATATGCACCACAATGTTAGGAGTAGACAGTCTTTTCCTCCCTCATGAATGATATCACAAGAGATATGCACCACAATGTTAGGAGTAGGGCTATAATCTGAAGAGTAGTAGTATTAATGTGTTTGAAAACTGCTAATGGAGCTCGAGCTCCATGGAGCCCGAAATTTGAAAAATTCAAAATCAAAATTTAGGCTTCAAAAAATTCTGAAAAAAGTACACATATGCCTATAAGGTTATACTACTTGACCATAAAGTTTCATGGCAATTTTTTTTTGCAAGCTACACAAAAATAAGAAAATCTTGTATTTGTAACACATGTGCTATCACTATAAAAGTGCATGATTTTTTTACTCTGTACAGCCCACATCAAAATGCATTTCATAACCAAATTTTAGTCACATCTAGTGAACATCTATGAGTACTTATGCGTTTATTTTCAGAGTTGTTTGCAACTTTCAAAGTTGATTATTGGATTTTTGAAAAGTTTATGCTCCGTGAAGCCCGAGAGCCAAAAGGCCTTGCTCGTCCGCTCTCTTATCCACCAGCAGATCTTTCTCTCTTATTATTATGCCCACTGGGCAGCAAGCTGTCAGAGGGATGCACGTACGTACCATTATCTTACTTCCTCCGTTCAAAAAACTTTGTCTTTTAAATGGATGTATCTAGCACTACGAGAGACAAGTTTGGGACAACTTTTTTCCGGACGGAGGGAGTATATATTATAGTATTCCCTCAAAAAAAATGTTACGTATTATAGTATAACAACTAGAATCTTGCAAATGGTGCCCCTGCCCATGTGGTGCGATGCGATGAGGACGGCTTGGGACTTGCTACTCCTGCATTTACAAAGTTACTCTCTCTGCCTTTGTCTGTTTCGAAGAATCAAAAGATTGTTGACCCAGATCCAATCTTGCTAGTGGCCGGCTTACGGTTTTCGAAGTACCACGCAGTGAGATGAAAGGAAGAGGAGATAGATAAGGCACACCTCCTAGAGGTAGAGAGAACACCGGCCAAACAGAGAGAGGAAGCAGCATCCCATTGGGGTAGCTCTGGCCAACAGAACTCCAGGCCCGAACCAGCCTTGGTTGTGACAATTCTCCCGTGTAACACATATGCAGACGCCTTTTGCTACAAATGCTTTTATCATTTCTTTCATAGCTGATCTACAGGCTTTGGTAAAACCAGCACACGGTAGAGGATCAGGCACCCCGGCTAGACAGAATCGATGGATTGCACCACCTGAGGATATGATGAAAATTAATGTGGATGCTGCTCTAACTAGGAACGCATCGGTAGGAGTCGTTTCTGCGGTGTGCAGGGATTCACTGGGAAATTATATCGGAGCCTCGACGATACCTTTTTGGGAATTTCGGATCCAACCACACTTGAAGCCCTCGCAGTACGGGAAGCGCTATGTTTAGTGGATGATCTCCATGAACAGAGAATCTGTATTGCCTCAGATTGCAAAACTATCGTTGACGACATCAAGCAGAGAACTGCGGCAGTTTATGGTACGATTATTCGGGAAATCGTAGATTGTTCTAATCTTTTTACTAGGTGCATTTTTAGTCATGAGTTTAGGAGCTCGCATGCCGAGGCTCAAAATTTAGCGAAGCAACCAAGGTGATCTTACTTTTGTCCATGTAAACATTGTACGTTTGAAATAAAGGCTTCACGAGATTGTCTCAAAAAAAATGTAAAACAATCGGCAATAAAGTGACTCGGTTTCACTTGACTTCAGAAAATAAAATTGATAAACTTATGAGTGAGTTCCTATGTTTTTGCACTGGGGGTTTAAGTAGTCCCCGACTTCGAGTCGGTGTGGACGGCTGCTTTGTTCTCTTAGAGTGTTGGGCTAGGTAGTCTGGCCCTAGCCCTTGACATTCCCCCCCTCCTTTACCAGGCTTGACCCCAAGCCACGACATGAGGGAAGCGAGTGTGAAGCTCATGTTCATTCTACCATGTCTCTAGCGACGGCAGGAGCCCTGGCCACTGCAGCAATACTTCTTCGATGTTTGTATGATGACGACTACATTGGCGGTGCTTAGGGCATATTCCAAAACTTGTAGTGGCAGGTGCCTGTCCTACAGGTGCGGTAACTCCTGATGCACGGTACATGACCGCGACACTACGGTGTGCAATTGGCAGATATGAAACACTGGATGGATATCCGTGTGCTCCAGCAGCTGCAAATGGTTGACTTTATTCATGACGGGCGCCAGGACTTGGCATAGTCTGAAATAGCGGAAGGCCAACTTGGCATTGGCGCGACACGCCGGAGATGTCTGGATGTATGGCTAGACCCGCAAGAAGACCCATCCACCAAAGGTGAAAGATCGATTAGAGAGCTCGCGGTCTGAGAAATCCATCATCCGCTGTTGAGCTCAGTGTGGATGTTGTCAGAGCAGCATGATCGCCAGGCGACAATCCTAAAGTCAAACTTGTAAATCTAGGGCCAGTCGCACTGATTCCATGGAGATTCCGAAGTGGTGCGGTTGGTGACCATACAACGCGAGAAACGACCTTGTCTTGATAGCCAAGTGGTATGATGTATTGTAATAGAACTCAACCAAAGGAATTCATTAACTCCACTTGCTCGGGTACAAGCTGATGAAACATCGAATATAGGTCTTAAAATTGATTGACGTGTGGCCAGGTCGAAGCCCTAGCTGGTGGTCCCCGATTGGCCCAGCAGGCCGCCGTAGAAGACGTGGAGCGTGTCGGATTTGCCTGCATACGCGACCTCGAAGTCGCAGCTCAGATCAAGGGAGTGGATCATGTTTCTCTAGAAACATTGCAAGGCAATGGCCTACTGGCCAAGGCTCAAACATGGTGTAGACAAGTTTTTCATTGAATATCCAACTTGTCGGGAAAACAAAGGGGGGGGGGCGGAATTGTCCCTATCCTCGATTTCTAGACCCACTTAAAATACCTAACATGGTCTGAACTCACTTGGGCATGGACTTTATTGAAGGACTCCCAAAATCAAATGGAAAGGAATTCATATATGTAGTGGTGGATAGACTGTCAAAGTTTGCACACGACCCATTACAATGCAGACAGTGTCTCAAGCATACATCGATAATGTTCAGAAGTTACATGGCCCTTTGGCAGACCAAGATAAAATGTTTACAAATCAGCTTTCGCAGGATATTTTAAGGGTATGGGTAGTGAACTATGCCAGAGCTCTGCATATCATCCACAGTTTGATGGACAAACCGAGCGTTTAAACTAGTGTATTGAAAACTACCTGCATTGTCTTACATCCTCGCAACCCAAGAGATGATCTATGCACTTCGAAATAGTATAAAGATTTTGGTAAAAAGGGCCATCACCACTACTTCTCATATAATTTGTCTAGTATTTTGCGATCAGGCCTAGAGTCCACAGAGGAAATTCGTCGTGCATATTGTTTATTTTGCTTTGTTTCCAGAAGAAATATCTTAGCGAAAGGAGGATCAAATGTATTCATGGTGCATGGATTTGATAAATGGAAGAATGTGAATGATGGAAAGTTTTGTGCTCCCTTTGGCCATGTAGGTTCTAGAACTTGCTCAGCACACAATAATTCAGCCATAGAACGTTAAGGATTGTTGAATTAAGCAGCCCATTTAGAAAATGTTGTAGCATAGAAAGTCCTAGTTGGTGATTGTTATCTACAAGGCGATCAGTTAGCATACAAGATCATCATACCTGGGAGGGCACTAATTACATCGGGCAAACGGATGGGTGATACAGGGTGTTGGTCTAAACCTTAGCACCATATATCTTTTAGGAGGAATTTTTAGTTATCTAGCTCGACCAACAAAATTTGAGCCATAGTGGCACATCACAATCCAACTTGGCTAAAAGAACATCGGCCCAGCTTGTTGCCCCATTGAGATGTGGGACCTATCCAACAACTAAGTTAGCAGTAAACAAACCGTTTCTATTCCGATGGGAGTGTCCATAGGAAATTTATCCCCCATTCTCCTTCCCTAAACTCAACCATGGCAGTGGGATGCAGGTCAGGTGCCTTGCTAGGTCGATTGTGATCACCTCAAGGGCTCACATGCATGGGCGACTCGTTGGTGGAAATGTGTGCGTTGTGAATGTAGTGTGACACCATGGTGCCCTGTGAGTTCTTTGAAATCGATTCCTCAGTAATTTGAGTTCAAACCGATTTCGATTTCATGAATTTTGCAAACATTTACTAATCCACACTACACACAGAGGTTTGTTCTCTTTCACATGTAGTGACACCAGCATTTTTGGTTGGTCCATTGCAAGCGTGTATGCCAACATGGTACCAGCTGCAGTAAATTTTAGTCACAACTATGCAATGATGATGATGATGCATATACCTCTTAGTTTAATTTCTGTTTCATTAGTAAGTAGGAGTATAAGCCAACTTGCTGAGATCTATAGTACATTTAGTTCATGATGTCTAAGAAGAGCAGGTGGTTTGTTGGATCTGATACAACATAATACAAGTTTTATATTGTACGCTAATTGAGATCTGTAATACAATTAGTTCAAAGTTATACATGAATACAACCATTTACCATGTACCAAAATATATAACAATAGTTACATTACATGAGCTCTAAAAAAAACTTAAATTGGCACTCCTCGTCGCTTCCTACCTAACAAAGCACTACCTTCACATGTGTCCCGAGCATGACTTGTAACAAAATAAACAAATGATTTATGAGGGGGTAACCTTGATTCCCATGAAGTTAGAATAAAGTCTCCTTCCGGTCTAACCCTTGGATCTGCTATAAGTCCCCCCAATGTCACACTTGGTGATTCCTCCTTGACTGAGACATTAATTGTATAACGTGTCATGCTAAGTGGATGCAAAGCAAAGTCCGTTATGTCGACTCGATGGCCTTGTGATAAACGTGTGCTTGGTTGCACACCATCTATGGATAGGTTTCTTTTAAGAAATCTTATCGCCTTGTCCAATGTACAACACCAAAACCGAACATTGAGATTTTTTCTCAACACATCCGCATATGAATTTGCCGCGATAAGTGAACCTTGCATATTGTTCAACACCTTGACAAATTCATCTGCTATTTGAACTAACCGTGGATGTTCTGCAGGGTCTACACTCCCAAATGCCAATGCCTTGAAAAGGTACCTCAACTCATCCTTTGATAGAACGGAGAGGAAAATTGGTTTCACCGATCCAAACCTGGCTAATCCTTTTAGTTTACTTACGATAATTATCTTACTTCCTCTGCTTATTCTTATGAGAAATGACTGAAACTTTTGCCAATCATCATCATCTACATCGGAAGCAAACTCGACAACTACCAACATCATTCCTTCCATAGTCCTTCCATGGTTAAGTATGCTCAAAAGGTTGTCTCCATCTAAGTGCAATACAGAGGAGAATCGCGAGCGAACCCTTTCATCACCGCACACATGTGCAACCAAACTTTTCTTCCCAGTTGTTGGGCCACCTATAACCGGGAGAACAGGCAGTGCATGATCCCCATGAGGGTCGTTGTGCTGAGCGAACCCTTTCATCACCGCACACATGTGCAACCAAACTTTTCTTCCCAGTTGTTGGGCCACCTATAACCGGGAGAACAGGCAGTGCATGATCCCCATGAGGGTCGTTGTGCTGCAACAAGAAGCTCAAGAGCTTTTGCTTTTCAGCATGTCGGCTGAACACAAAGTTGTCGGTGTAAAGATAAACATCATATGGCCTACGAGACATGCGCTCACATCCACCCAAAAGCACAATAAATTCCATCATGTTTGAAGTAGCAATTTCTAAACTTTCCAAGGCACCATGTGAATCAAGGCATGTGGCCTTATCAGTTGTTGGTCGTGAGCGCTTGGCTAAATACAAACTGCTGCCAGATGAATTATTGTTGCTAACCTTGTCAATACGCGCACCATCTTGGAGAGCTCGCTACCTCATGTTATCTAGCACACTATATCCTCGGTACATAGCCTCTGAGAGCGTCTTGAGTTGCATCATCATCCCGGAGTTGGTTATGTATCGTGTGTCCGCCTCCTTGACGATGGTGCAAGCTCTCATCAGGAGATGCTGCAACCTCTCCAGCACCTTCTCCTCTGACTCTGCATGGCTGGGAGATTGGTACTTGTTCATCAGGAAGGAGATGAACCGGCTCACCAGTTCACTTGCAACTACAGACATGGTAACCTCCATGTTTGAGATTGATGAGGCAATCTGCCTTTGGGTGTCTAGAAAAATTTAACTAGGCTGGCTTCTGCCAAATCTTGTACAGCAAGAATGGTGTTAGCTGCAACGAGAGGGTGGTTGAGAGCACTGTCCAGCCACCCTTCCACAATTATACGTGTACAGGCAGCATGGAAAAATTGGCTAGTATTTTAGATATTCACATTAAGTAGGTCCAAATTGGTTATTGTGTTTCTGTTGAATCCTTCTACACTTATATGTGTACTCTACTGTAGCAAAGTTTGACCGTGGAAATTGCCTGGGCTTGATGAATGTCAGTCAAGAAGTAAATATGCTCCATTTTTTATCTTGGTCAGTGAAGATATGAGGATCACAACTCCATGCTTCAGTAATTTTTCGGAGGACATTTGCCATTTTGTTTGTACATTTTTGCTCCTTTAGTCCTTCAGAACACAACCAGTATACATGTAGTTTATTTTATGCTAGTTTAGTCTTTAACTGAAATCCATTGCACCATGTGCATTCTTCACATTAAAACAAAATGGAAAAAAGAAAAAAAGTATGATGCAACTTCAGAAGATAGAGACTTTATTTTGTGCTGTTCCAAACTAGGAGTCCTCTGTAATGATTAGGGTTAGAGCAATTATCAAAGCATCGGACATTATGAAATTTACATAAAACTCATCTACTGGGTGTGGGGTGGAGATGCTGTGCAATATGGCCTGCTACGGCAAATGACTCTCGTCCTGGGGCTCAGCAGTGGCACTGGAGAGCTCCTCATTGTCGTCGGGATTGTCTTGTACAGTCAATCTTATCATTATCGGCCGTCTTTCTTACCACGCTTCTTCCTGGAAAGGCAAGCCAAGCGAGAGTGAGAAAAGCAAATGTAAAATAAGGGTCGCCATGTGTTAATTTCTCTATTTAATCTATCCGAAATATGCAGGTTAGCAGGATATATAGCTGGTGTTTGTGTGTGTCTCTTCGTGCTTTCACCTGACGGCAGATATGGCAGCCTCCATGGCAAGCAAGAGGACGATCAAGAAGGAAAACTACAGACTACGGAGATTGACTAGCATGTGCCAAGTCTCACAGAGATTCTTCGTGAATTAGAGAATTCTCCAAACTATTGACGACGACGAGTTCTAGGGTGGGTGACACAGGGCTGCTAACATCTATCCTTATAAACTAGGTGTTTGTATATTTTCAAGGGTGGGTGACACACGGCTGCTAACATCTATCCTTATAAACTATGTGTTGTTGTATTGTATATTGGCCTAGTACCATATGGAATACACAAGTTGCAATCCTAGCAAAAAATGTGGGAATGAAAGGCCAACTGCCCAAACGTCACAGTAGGTCCAACCTAGCTAATATCGTTACATGCCAACTTGTAGTACATTTTAATATTCTTCACTACAGGAAAAACACATAATGTGAGTATCATATGGGTAAGCCAAGTCACTGTGCGGCTACTGTATGAACCTGCAGAGGGTGCCACATGTCCTTAGGATATGCTGGGAGTTTCATATGTGACGCTCGGTATAAACGTAAGCCGAGTGTTGGCTCTCGTCTTAAAAGTATCCTAACTATTAATAGCGACATGTTCAAGGGTGGGTGACACATGGCTGCTAGCATGTAGCCTTACAAACTACACTTAGTTGTGTTGTATATTGGCCAAGTAAGCCATGGAAAACACAAGTTGAGCTCCTAGTAAAAGCATGTGAGAATGACAGCCCACTGTCCAAGTGACATCAAAACATCTTGTTTGAGCTCCCACGCTCTGCAAATTCTCTACCACGAGTCAAGCTCCCGTGAGAACCCCAATACCATGTTGGAATTTACTAGTAGGCCTTTGGCCCAAAGCCCAACTAAAATTTTCAAATTCTCTTGGCCCATTCATGCATAGTTTGTGAGTGATGTGAGTGGAACTAAAGTTTAGTCTCACCCCGGAAGTTGAGAGAGACTTGGACCTCTTTATAAAGCGAGTTCTTCTACCACTTGTATGAGCATGAGAAGAGGAGACCTACACGCGGGCTCCTCCTTGCTCGCATCGCCACGCCATGACGTGGGAATGAGCCGAGCTGGGGAAAGAGCTATGTTGTCTATATTTTTGCTGCTCGGAAATAATTAGTAAGTCATTAATTAATTATTAATGGACGCATTAATTATTCAGCCGTTTCCGATTCTTTTGGATCGTGGGGCTGTTACTTGAACGTGAGATTTTCTCCAAAACCTACCCGGCCCGCACTATACGGTCAGGCAGATGTCTACCCTAGCCGCCGCCGCATCGTATGGTTTTGCACCACCGTTCCAAATCATTGCGCCGCCATGTAAGTCTTCTCCATCCCACCTTTGGGCGTGCACCGCGAGAAGGGACAGCAGCCCCCCGGAACCCCGCCTCTCTTGATCCTGTACGGGAGAGGGGCACTCAGGTTTTTGGGGAGCGCACTCGCGCGATGGCTGGCAGCAACGACTTCGCCAACGACGACATCGTCCCCGACCTCGGCAACCTCTTCCTCAACGACATGGCCAGCAACATCACCGCCAACGGTGCTGCTCCCATTGCACCGTATGTGATTTTGTCCTTCTTGTTCGAGATCGTGGTAGAATTCATGTTTCTAGAATGTGCCCTAGATTTGATCTATTCATCTAGTATGCTAGTCCACGTGATTAGTTTAGTCTCTGTTATTGCTATCATGATTTCTTTTGTGCTTATTCGGTTTAAATCTCGTAGTAATTTGCTCATATTTTCAACATACCACTTGACGGCTGAGATATGGGGTGTGACCGTGTGAGTATGCCCAGGAGTAGCCAAAACTTTCTGGCATGGAGTATATGTCCACTCTACTCTAGCAAAGTTTGACGGTGGAAAAGTACAAGGAACGGCTTGTGGCCAGGGTTATACCCAGAAAGAAGGTGAAGACTACTTAGATACTTACTCACTCGTGGCTAGACTGATCACTATTCGGGTGCTACTATCACTGGCTACCTCACGCGGTCTTCACATTCATCAAATGGACGTTAAGACGGCTTTCCTCAATGGAGAGTTGAAGGAGGAAATTTACATGGATCAGCCAGATGGTTTCGTAGTACCTGGTCAGGAAGGAAAGGGGTGCAAGTTATTAAAATCTCTCTATATGTCCTTAAAAAAGCTCCTAAAGAGTGGCATGAGAAGTTCGAAAGAACATTAACTGTTGCGGGCTTTGTAGTAAACGATGGTGACAAGTGTGTGTACTATCGCCATGGTGCGGGCGAAGGAGTTATTCTTTGTGTGTATGCCGATGACATAGTGATCTTTGGAACCAAACTTGAATTAATCAAGGAGGTTAAGGATTTCTTATCTCGTTGTTTTGAGATGAAGGATCTAGAAGTAGCTGATGTTATCTTAAACATCAAGTTGTTGAAAGACGAGAATGGTGGGATTACACTGCTTAAGTCTTACTATGTGGAAAAGGTCTTGAGTCGCTTTGGGTATAGCGACTGCAAGTCTTCTGCAACTCCATATGATGCTAGCATGTTGCTTCGAAAGAATCGACGGGTCGCTAGAGACCAACTGAGGTATTCTCAGATTATTGGCTCGATTATGTACTTGGCGAGTGCCACGAGGCCTGACATCTCTTTTGCTGTGAGCCAACTGAGTCGGTTTGTGTCAAAACAGGGAGATGATCATTGGCATGCACTTGAGAGATTTATGCGCTATTTGAAAGGCACTGCGAGCTATCGGATAAGTGCTCGGCTGAAGCACTCAATGTTCTTTACACCCAAACCACCATACTTTTTCGGCGAGCATACTTGCTTCCAATTTACCAGGCTCATCCCTCTAATGTTTTCATCATCTTTTCCTGCAATTTTGTCTATCACAGGTTGAACCCTCCACTCTCTTTGGCTTTAGGACTCCCAGCGGTAACCCCAAGTATTGGCATGGAAGATCCCCATAAAGCAGCCCAAACTCGGCAAGTATAGATTGTCTGTTTATATCCGAGCAGGAGATAGGGTAGGCCACCATTTTTTCCGTGTTTGTTTTCAGCCACGAAGCACTACCGAACAGCTGCAGGATGGTGTGGACCGCAGTTAGGTCCACTCTCACCAGGTTGATGAAGAGTGCAGCATCATCTGCATAAAAGCTAGATCAAAAACAAGCAACCCGTGTCCCACGCGGTGTCAATATTAGTGAGGAAAATTGGGACTCAAGAAGCATCGTTCTCATCGACTCTAGTAACTGACAGTTTCATCATTGATGTAGTTGCAAGTAGTCTATCACGGAATATTCGGGCTATTGCAACAATTTCAGTAAAGATTGCAGATGGGGGCACTTTGCAATGTACGCAGATCATTCCAAGTTGTGTCTGGGAAACTAGAGGGCATTCATTTCCAAGTAATTTGCGAGTTATTTCATTAGGCTGCTATGATATGGCCGATGTCCTCCGCCGTGACGGCGATGGCGTTGGCTTCGTGGAGGCAGCGGTGTGGCGGCGGCCTTGTGCACTTATCGTATCACGGCAACGTTCTGCTTGATCGGTCCTCCTTGATCTAGCCGTCGACGTGTTCCGAAACTACTGTCGGAGATCTTGCCCAAGGATATTTGGATC